TGACCGTAGTTTTTATAATGCGCATATATTTTATGGTCACATTTAAAAATCGACGGGGTTGTATCATATTCCGCTAACTCGTTACTTGTGTAAACAATCGCAAACTATCATCGACATCAAAGATGAGCTAGACAATGTCCTCATCAGGATTAACTTGGGTTGAAACAAAAGAAAATAAGCCTGTTAAGAAGCTTAAGTGGCCACTTGAGAGGTGTCGTGGCTCCTTCCGTTAGTACCTTCCATGGTTCGACCGAGCCTGGTTGACGCCAGGATAGCGCAATAAATTGCCATTTAATAGGAAGATGGCTGCACAGCCCTATCATGAATATGACTTCTGTGGCAAAAATGCACTATGTGTCAGCACTAGCACTTGCAATTTGCATATACAAAAAAAAAAAGTCATGAGAGACAACGTCTGGAACTGTCTCCAGGCACACAAAAAAAATAAATAAAAAAATATACCAATAAACATTGTCGTGCGATTTATGACCACCTTTCTAAAAAATTATGAGTATCGTAGGCTTCCACCTTTAATAATAGAACTAACATTTCATTCTTACACACGTGAACTCTGCCGTTGCTGCCACATAGATGATATGTGCTTAAAGTATTGATGGAAATGTGCTATGCTTTACAGTAATGTTAAGTGCCCATAGTTTCAATCACTATTACTAGAAGATTATTGTTATTACTGGTTTCTCACATCTGTCCTTTTTGTTTGTTTAGGAGAAAGAAAAAGAATTGGACATTAAAAACATTTATAGCAATCGTGTTATCCGTGCATCGACGAAGCTCAGTAATAGTCTTAGCACCACCCCTATGCCGACTCCACGCAAAGTGCGAACGGCAAACAAAGCGGTGCAAGCCGTAGACATTTCTGAATTCAACAAACCACCCACCAAAACAAAGGAGGAAGTGTCTCCACGTGACGTGCTTCCACAAGAGGATAGCTTTGAAAAACAATTACAACGCCAGAGGGATTTAGAAAGACAACAAGAAGAGGATAGACGACGGTTAGAGGAGGATGAGAAGAAACGAAAAGAACAAGAGGAGGCAGCTAGGATTTTAAGAGAGTTGGATTTTGGAGGGTTACACAGAGAAACCAGTGCGGATAGGAAGAGACGAGAAGAAGAAGAAGAGTTGGTACGTCAGCTTATTTAAACATTCATCATGTTTATGTTCATTTCTCAATTACAGGATTTTTCAGGATAATAATAATAATAATCTTTATTGCATAATCGTATCTTTATTTGGATATTGACTCAGAAAAAGAAAATTACAATAAAGATGAGAAACGGAGGAAGTAACAAAATGGAAGCACTCAAATATGTGGAAATTATTACTTTCTGTCTTACATTGTAACTCTATCTATCATGACAAAAATGGCCTTCTTATGATGTATGTTATTAAAATTATCATTTCAAGTCTTTTTATAAGTTTAATTTTTTCTCCTTCCTTGCATATTTCTATGCTATGCACTAAACCATCACCCTTTATGTATATCGTCATATTTTGCAGCAACAGTGCACACAAATATTCAGCATGTATAGTTGTCGCAACGCTTATTTTTCAATTTGCTTATAGAAAGCACTGATAATGGCAGTACACAAAATACTTTCATGACAATAAGCCACAATCTCCGGTGTTTCCTGTCACATGTGTACAAAGCTTATACGTATTGCAATATACATAGTATGTCTGCCACTCAAATCTCTGTTGATTACCCCAGTGACTAGTATACAGCCATGTTTTGCTTTTCCAGGCAAAATCAAGAATGCGAGAAAGTAGTCAGTTCACGTCCGGGGACACTTTTGTGTCACAATTGGTAATGTTTTGTTGCATGATATGTGTGCATGCATGCATGCATATTATTTGGTGTTTGTAGTTATGGTATTTTGCACGGCTGCTTTGTTTTGTTTTGCTTTTTTTTGCACGTATGTTAATTTTGAGTACTGTGAAAATTGTATTAGAAACTGCAGCTACAGTACTATTAAAATCGTACAATGCAACAGAGGGTATGCAGCTTCTATTAGAGCATCTGCATATATGAGAAATGATGAAAATGTTGTTTCTCAATTATTCAAAATACAGATTCTAATACAGATTTTTCGGTGGATGTTTTTTTTTTTTTTATTTGTAGCTATTTAGTGTTTGATATTTTTTGTTTTTTGAGTGTCTTGTAAAATAAAAAATTAAATACCATTCATGAATTATTATCTAATCTTCGTAAATTATTTGTAGGCCAGGGAGAGAGAAAGACGGCGAAAGCAAGATGCAGAGGCAAAGAAAGCAAAAGAAGAACAAGAAAGGCGGGAGATTGAGGAGAGAGAGAGACGAGAACGAGAGGAAAGAGAGCGACGAGAACGAGAACAGAAGGAGAAGGAAGAAGCAGGTGAGTTTTAAAATATATTTTATGATACATTTTAGTTTGATTATGCAAATTTGTTTAATTGTTTAAAGTGTCACACTTTTATTTCTGAAAAGAACAGTATCAGTTGCTGGTCAAAAGATAAACTATGATATCAATGAAGTTGAAATTCAAATTTATTTAGTTTCACAAATATTTAAGATTTATTTTGTGAATGTAGTATAAAGTTGTTTTGCTTGTTAGACTGCGTGTTTTGTAAAGTTCAAATTTGTTGGCGAAATCCAAAAATGCTAAAATTAACCAGCAAAGAAGTCACAAACTGAAATTACTGCCAGTGTTTTCATTGACTCATGACAAGATTACTTCCTTGCAGGTATACTTATAGATTGCATTGAATTGTTCACCCCCTAGTCAATAGCTGTTCACCCCTGTAACCCATTTTGTGACATGATCCAATATTTGTGGATCAGGCCACTTCATTGTGAATACAGGGGTGAGCAGAGTTAAATTATTATCATGAATTGTAATTCTTAATTTTCATTATATAGACAGTTTAAAATACTATATATTCTCTATTAAATCAACTATAAAAATTAGACAATTTTTCTGAATCTGTTTTCAACTACATTTTGTGCAAAATAATAAAGATAATCTAGGCAGATCAATATTGTTATCAGTAATGTAATGTATATTATTAAATATGCACTCTGATATCATTCATAAAGCCATATTGGAATCTTGGGACTACCAGGTATGATGTGAAATATTTACTGGTCTAATTATTGTAAATTGCAGGAAACCTGTACTAAACATCAAATCATAATCCTTAGCAAGTTAGTGATCATTTGGGCTTCCTATTTAATTGGGTGGTCGATTGTAATTTGCTAATACTTTGAAATAGCATTCCAATATGAACTACCAAAGATATGCTTACTGTAAGTAAAGGAATCATCAATTATTTCTCACAAATAGCACAATTTCAGAGCATCAAATATTTCACATAATAGTCGCAAGACCCCAATATGAATGATCTCAGAATACAATTTTAAAAAAATCATGTTTTTTCAGCCTGTGCACCACCCTTTAATCGTCTCAAAGAAAGCAAGTTGATGGTCCTCCTTCTCATCCCAGAGAAAGGGATTTCTTTTGCTTTGTTAGCAGGAAGGGATTTGTTCAGGATGGAATAGTCATGATTCTAAATAGCTCAAGTTGTAATGCATGGAATCTATGAAAAAAAAAATCTAAAAAATAATCAAATTTTTTTTTCAATATTAAAATGTTAAAAATAATAAAAAAAAAAGAAGTCACCAGGAAGTTGTGAAAATATCTGTGTTTGTTTTGAAAAATTTTAGAAATTGAATTAAGAAGATAATCCAAAAATAAAAACAAGGTGCAACATGGATACCCACAATGCATCGTAATGTGGGTTTCACAACAACTCCTGGTGTAAAATTAGAATATTATAAAGTGAAATGTCATTTTTTTCAAAACAGTTTTTTTTCTTGTCAACTTAAAAGTTATTGTAGTTGTAAAAATGTAATTGCAGACATATATTGATAATTAATTTTTTATGTTCATATAAATGCTTGCTGTCTATATCGTAATGCTTGTTTAATGCTTTTAATTTTGCTTTTTTTGTCATTTGTTTTTGCTTGTTATAAATTGCTAAAATATCATGTATGCAACTCTGTGCTTTAATACATTATGAGTATGTACTCATCTCACCCAATACTGTACATAGATGATTTCAAAAAGCATAATGTAAAATCTCTTTCATTTTGGGACAAATTTCAATAAATTTGGAAGTAGTTTACATGTATAGTGTCAATCACTTGCACAGTGTTTGTTTATGTGTGTCCTTGTTATGTTACAGTGTTTAATTAATTATTCATTACAAGCTGGACTTCTCTTGAGTAAAATCACATGCTACCTCTCTCTTCAAATTACAATAATTTCTCGCAACTATGATTTCACAGTTACCGGGGGTGGGCTCAGGATAATAGAAAAAAGAATAAATTTTTGGTCAATTTGTTTTTCTAAATCTAAAGTCATGGGTTATTATCTGTACTCTAAACTTTGCCATAAATTTCTGATTTAATTTTGACTTTTCATGTGATGTTTTTAACCCATGTGGCCATAAGACTACTACTGTAAAATATGTATTTGAAGCTGCAGCTTCTATTAAAATGGTACAATGCAACAGAGGGGATGAGGTTTCTATTAGAGCATCTACACATGTGAGAAATGGTGAATTTTTGGTTCTTAATTGTTCAAAAATAATGTGTGCGACTTCTATTAGGGATGCGGCTACTAATACAGATTTTACGGTATATTTTGTGTTCCTGACTGCACCCTGGACACAAACTTGAACGAGAAATTGACAATGCTATTCAGAACTACTATAATATTTACTCTTGATTTACATTGTTTTGAAACATGATTTGCAAAAAATATATCCCGGAAAAGATACAATGTCCAGCCAGCTTACCGGTAACTTGTGTACAGAAAAAAAAAAAACTAGAAAGAGAAACAGACGATGATTGTTCACATGTCCATTACATGTATGTCTTTGTAATGTACATATATGTAAAAGTACAGTGTTGGGTGTACAGCAGTAACTATAACATAAAATACATGTAATCCTTTGCTTGTATAAAATAAGCTGCATGCTTTCCCTTTTTATTGTCTTTGTTTCTGCCATTGTAACCTGTATTGTTTTCTTTCATGCATGGTTTTATTAGGATATAAACCGTCCCTTTTTAGCAGTAGTAGCGCCACCCCTCAAACACAGAAACCCAAGATTGCCAAAGACTCGGATGCGTTTCCTTTCTTTGGTTCCAAACCCTCCAAGAAACCACCAGTTACTGATTACAACGACCGAGACAGTACTGACTTTTATGGTACTTCACAATCTGATGCAACAACAGGGAAAAAAACTGACTTTCGTGGTTCTTCATATTCTGATGCAGGAAAAAATTCAGATAACGACTTTTATGACAGTTCCGATAAATTCTCTGCTGGCAACAGGTTTGCCAGAGACTCTCCAGAACAACAACCATCCTCCGGGATATTTCTCACCGAGGGTAAATTTTGTGTTATTTTTCTGCATGACGTCTATCTGCACGACTATATACTGTTAATCAATGTGTTGTATTTACATAGGGGTTATTTGTGCTTTGCAGTGTTTTGTAAATAAGGTTTATCTATTGCGTTATTGGTGATTATGTCATTTTTATATCATGCTTCATTTTTCATTCTTCCATCATTTCATTAACAAAATCTATCCATATATGGTAATTTCTCTATTCTCCTGCGCTTATAAGTAAATTACAGATGAAGTATTTCAATGGTCAAAATATATTAATGATTTCATTGTACAGCAAATGTGATTTCTGAATTTCTGCATGCGCTTCTTGTTGAGATGCACTACTAATAGAGCAAATACAGTATAGAAATAAATTAAAATAGTTTATGCGGTTACCTAAAAAAGGATATTGTATTTTCTTATTCAGAAAAATATTGTTTTTTTTTTATATTTATTTTCTTTGATTTCTAATGAATTTATACATGCAATAAGAAGTGAATGGGCGCTTTAAGATCTTAGAGAGAGCTATGAGAACTTATTGTAACCATGGTATTTAGAACAGAGGGCAAAAACAAGTCTCATGGCCTTCTGGTTGTCAAGGAGATCTCGGCGGCCATTTGCATTTAATGTCTGCTTGAGGGAAGAAATAAATTTTCCCTATATTTGTTTCACATGCAATAGTAGCAGTATTAAATTTTGAATGATATTATGTAATTCAGAGCATTTTTATAAAAATGAATTACGATAGTCATTTAAAAAAAAGAGATTTCACCAAAACTTTCAGTGTTCTAAAAAAAATACTATGCTTGACCTAGTATGGTTGCAATATGAGATTACAGCAACTTTCTAACTTGTACTATCAAAAAAAGAAACATCTACTTTATATTTTGACGATGAGTGAATTTTCACGCCTTGTGAATTAAACCTTACCCAAGGTTACAACTCCGAATTTGTAGCAATTTTGATAACTATACTATATTTTCTGATAAATTTGTCAGTTTTAATAAATAATAATTGAATGCAAATGTAAAATTTGAAGAAAGGTTTTTCTGTGTGTGTGTGTACATACATACATAACACATGCATGTCAATTTGTACATATGTACACATCATGTTAACCCTAACTCAATCTACATGTGTTCATGATGCGTTCAAGGGAATATCAGTTCAACACATATACTAATGTTATTAACTTAATTGTAATGATGGTTGTCCAAAACCTCAGAATCTTGGAAATCAGTTAGAATGTTGATGCCAATGATTTTACATTACTACGGTAGTACTTATTATGAAAACTGTTCCTGGTGGTTAGATTCTTTGATTTAGGGTATATGGACAACCATAAAATGATCACAGTTCGTCGTTCTACTTATGTAATTTATATAACTCTACTAACTTTCATTGATTTGTGCATGTTGTTATTAACAAAAAAAATATAATATTTATGAAAATTACTCTCATGAGTCACTTTCCAGGTGTACCCTCCCCTCCCCTCCCCTTCCCTCTCAGAGGAACCATCAATATTAAAGTGCTCATTAAACCCTGCTGTGTTAACCTTTGACCTATGCATGTTTGTTTTACCTTTCTCTTTAAATGGGTTGTTCCATTAACATGTAGGGGTGACTTTTGGGGAAATACTGAATTGTTATGAGTTAAATTGCTAAAGTGCTAAGTGTTTAGCAATTTAACTACACTTTGGACAGTTGTTTGTACATTAACCAGTTGTATGACCCATATGGCTACATATCCTGTTTTCATGGTGTGGGCTGGTTATGCCCCCCCTCCCCCATGATTCTGGTCAGCACCTATGGCTGTCTGAAAGCAAGTGCAATTTTTTTGTGGGGGGCAGGGGGGTTCTGGCAAAATATGATATAAAAGAAACAATGACATAAAAAAAGGTGTGTCACCTCATTCTTTTTTTTAACACTTCATGACCAGAAGCATCTCTTTTTTTTTAAGCCATATAGAAGTGATAACTTCCTGTTTGTCACACAGACGTGAATTCAATTTGTTTTACTCAGAAACCAACACAAAGTTCCAGGATGTGTACCCTTCATGTGTCATGACAGTGACTTTTTTTATTCTTCCGAGGACAGAATCTGGACTCAATTGGACAATAGATAACACTACTAATAACAGTGATATCGAAAGTGTTCACTATAAAATCGAATCACTTTGATGCTGCTTATGTATATTTCCTGGTCTATGGGTTTTCTGGTGACTGTGGGTGATATATTGTTGTGAGGTCTGGATGCGCAATGCTATGCTTGCAAATATCTAACTATAGGCTTGTATGTTTCACTTTTATAGAGAGGAGAGAACAGGAAAGGCTGGAGGAACAGGAGAGAGAGCGGATAGACCAGGAGGAACGAGAGAAACAAGCAAAGATTGATGAAGATCGTCGAAAGAAAGATTTGCTTTTAGCGAGATTACGTGACATTGATGCCGGGAAGAATCCTCCTCCGGATTCACCAGAAGAGTCTCGTAAAAATTACAACTTCAGTGACCCAATTGTAAATTTACATAATGGTTTACCATCACACCCCCCAGACGAGGCTAAAAATTCTGCCAAAAAGAAGAAAAAGAAAAGCTTGGAAGGAAATGATGGATTTGCAGTAGGAGGATACGCCCCCTCATTTGGAAGACGTGTTCATGCAAAACCGCAGAAAAAATCAGATTGGTTGTTTGACGAAGACAATTCTGAAAAGAAAAGCCCAACTCCTGAGAAAAAATCAAACTTAATGTCTGATTTATTTGGTAACACACCAGACGACAAACCACGAGCCTCTCTTGGTGATGATATTTTCACAACTTCTACAAAAGCAAAACCTGTAGCTGATAAAAATGCTTATCCCTGGGAGAAGGGAGTTGATGTAGCAACAGCAAGAGGTGGTCGCCGAGCAACCAACAATCTGTTCAGTGATGATGATGATGAGAATGATAAATTGTTGCCGCGCCGACCACGTCACAACAATAACACAATGTATGATGCAAAACCAGCAGTGAACGCAATTGACGACTTTGATGACGATATTGAAGAAGTCATCTTGTAAACAAATCCTTCCATTGAACAATCTAGAACATGTGTATATAAAAGTAATTTTAACTAATGATGAAAAACTTATGCTTTTTGTATCATTCTAATTTATAAATATTGAAAAATTCATGACATGAAAGATCATCATTTCATTGTGCTTACTACATTTTTTTCACAATGCCATGCTGCTTTAATAAATACTTGCTTTCAGGCAAAAGATGTTTGTTCGTCAACCATCAGCATTTTGACACTTTCTTAAATTGTTATCAAATACTCATTTATAATTCTTTACAATTTACAAGACAGAAGGGAGATAATTTGGAAGTATTTATATTTATTATTGTACGTATTTATCACAGATAATCAAAGAATTATCCCGGTATATCATCACAGTCAATTAAAATTTTTTGATTCTCCCACAGACACAAACTATCAACTATTTTTAGTCTCTGTTAGCTTGGCTACCATATATTGCATCTCCTAAGCAAAGTGGGTTGGTACACTTTTTTAGTATGCCGGCTTTAGTTTTGTTTCTGTATTTCAGGCATCCAAAACTTTTTGGAATATTTACGCCTTTTTTTTGAAAAATATGAGAAACAAATTAACTATTCAGACACACAGAACAAAATATAATTTGGTATCAGGGCTCGAAATTAACTTTTTTTTTTGGTAGTCCATCTGGGCTACCACTTTTTAAATCTGGTAGCCCAAGATCAATCACTGGTAGCCCCAAATTTTTAAAGCAGTATTTATGCGAATGTCATATGTTCAGTACATCTTGTTGACAGGTAGGTAATGTTTCATATATTTGAATGTATCAGTACTAATTTCCTATAGACAGGAGAACTAAACTGAAATAAAGAGTTCATGTTTTATAGTTTCACTTATCGTGCATTGTGAAATACTGCAAATTCCAAGTTTGAAGTTTTAATGTTACAGTATTCAATCTTATTGTCACAAAACTTAAATTGCCACAACAAATAAATTGTCTTGATTGTA